TCTTTTCTCTCTTCTTTTCTCTCTTCTTTTCTCTCTTCTTTTCTCTCTTCTTTTCTCTCTTCTTTTCTCTCTTCTTTTCTCTCTTCTTTTCTCTCAAAGAACATCAAATAATACCATTTTTATGAGATGATTGATTGTGATGTCGCAAATGCATTATAGCCTAATTTCAATGCTTTCTCCACCTGTTGTTGCATCCAGATTTGACAGCCAGTCTTCACGACAAGGCTATTGTTCCAAACACAGGTGTGGTCAGTGGGCTACCGAAACTCATACTATGCAAAGCTAAGATTTTTTTATTAGACTTTGAAGATTAATTAAACAGACTTATTATTAGTCCAGTTGTTAATACTTGTGTAACTAACACAGGTGATATTATTCAATTCCAACTCAATTCCAGTACAGATACATACAGATATATGTAAACTTTTCAATTTTTGGGGGTGGGGTGGGGGGGTGGAAGAAATAGTTTTTTTAAAAAAAAAAAAGCCTCTTTCTCTGTTACTGTGCTTACCCTTCATATTACTTCTTAGTTTAATGGTCTTTTTCTGAAGAAGAAGAGAGAAGGGGCATTATAGTGAGTCATCAACATCCCAAGTTCCTGGCTGAGATGTACACATTCATCTTGGGGATTTCTTTGCCAGAAAGCTACTGGCTTGTTCCCCCCTACTCTGGACTCTGTTTGACATTATAGTCACACATTTGTTCATGAGGTCTAATTACTTGCTGTTTATTCATTGATGTGCAGTCCATGTTATATGTGATTTACTATATATGGTATACTTCACATGCTTTGGAAACTTTCTTATATCTCTAGGACTAGTTTACCCAGCTGCAAGGGTCTGATCTTGGATGGAATATATGTACATTTCAGTGCATTCATTTTCAATTCTAAACATGAAGTAACTATACATATATGTATAATACATATCTTCATCATTATAAAATGTGGAAAGGACAACCTGAGATTTATATCTTTGTGTGTGGATAATTTTATCATGTAGTAATCCAATTGAGTCATTTTCTTTGCTGACCTATAATTAGCTTGCAGTCCACCACAACCCCCAGGTCTTTCTCTGAAAAGTTACGTTAATTGATATGCCAATTCTGAATACAGTCTAAAATCTGGGTTAAGTTAGACTGCCATAAGAATTAGACGTGTTTGATTAGATACCTGCAATGTTGTGTTATTTGAACACTAACATAATAACTCTTCTTCCCTAAGATCTGAAGTACAAAAGTTCCAGGAAATGCTCTGCTAAAAACTCTTAAGAGTTTCAGATCCTTAGGTCCAGCAAAACAGAATTAAATTCTCAGAATTAAAAACTCAAAAGTTTCAACAATCTTTAAGTTATTGTTTCTTTATATAATGCGTATTTTCTTCTCAACTTCACTGAGCTGTTGATCGGTATTTTTAAAACCACACCATTGACTTAAATTGTTAATGGAATCAGTCTTTGTGCAATCAAAAGTATTCTAAAAATCCTTGTAAAATAAATGTCCAATGAACAAACTAAAAAAAAAAAAAAAAAAAAAAAAAAAGAATATGTGAAGAGATAATAAAATATCTAAACTTGGGTTTAAAATTAGTGGAAAATCTAAAAAGAGTCGTGTAGGGA